CTGCCACTACAGGCGCTTGTAAAAAGTCCCTCTCCAGTTGTCTTTTTGGCCCCTTTAGGTACTACTCTAAGGTCTCCCCAGAGTTTTCTCTTCTCCAGACTGAACAACCCCAGCTGTCTCAGTCTGTACCTATAGGAGAGGAGTTCCAGCCCTCTGAGCATCTTTGTGGCCTCCTCTGGACTCACTCCAACAAGTCCATGCCCTTATGCTGGGGACCCAGAGCTGAATGCAGCACTGCAGGTAGGGTTTCACAAGAGCGGAGGAGAGGGGCAAGATCACCTCCTTCGGCCTGCTGGTCATGCTTCTTTTGGTGGAGCCCAGGATACAGTTGGCTTTCTAGGCTGCGAGTGCACACTGAAGCTGGCTCATGTTAAGCTTCTTGTAAATCAACACTGCCAAGTCCTTCTCCTCAGGGATGCTCTCAATCCAGTCTCTGCCCATCCTGTAGTTGTGCTTGGGATTGCTCTAACCCAGGTGCAGGACTTTGCACTTGGCCTTATTGAACTTCATGAGGTTTGCACTGGCCCACCTCTCGAGCCTGTAAGGTCCCTCTGGATCCCATCCCTTCCAACCAGTGTGTCGACTGTACCACACAGCTTGGTGTCATTAGCAAACTTGCTATTAAACAGTACCAGTCCCAATACTGGCCCCTGAAGAATGCCACTCATTGCGGGTCTCCACTTGGAATAAGCTGTTGACCACACCTCTTTAAGTGCAACCATCCAGCCAGTTACTTAGCCATCCAGTGGTGTATCTATCAAATCCATGCCTATCCAGCTTAGAGACAAGGATGTAATGAAGGACAATATCAAACATTTTGCACAAGTCTAGGTAGGTGACGTCATATGATTAATTGCTTGGTACCACGTCGATGGGGAATAGCCATGTTGGTAAATGTGACACCGGTGTGTACACAGGGAGGTATCCTTAGTGACTCAATGTACTTAATAAGGAGCAAATGACCCTGCTTACCTCAATGAACACTGCAAAACAAATAATTAAACATATTCATCCATAAGAACTGTCACTGCACATTGTTTACGAAATAAAATCACCTCCTGGCCATTGATCGATCACCTGGACATGGAATGCCACATGCTGTGCAGATGTGTCTGGTGGGGACAGGACAGTGGCATCATGGCTCCAGCCTTATCACAGGGCTTAGAGTGGCCTTGACCCAGCCTGGACACATCAGCAGAGCTGGACCCCAGCAGGACCAGGGCAGTGATCCTGGATGTTGCTGGATCAGCAGTGCCTTGTCTTCCGGCAAACCCTGCCTTGAGGAGAACATCTTAACCAAGACTTTCCATGTATCAAAGCAACCTGAGCTTCTGCGTGACTGTTTTCTGTGCTAAGAAAAGCAAACCAGTAAGTTTCTTCCTGATTTATACGAAGACCTTGGCGTCACTTCCGTGGCAGTAACAGAATTGCTGCTGTTGCATGCTGATGGGAAAACCAGACCTTGCTTTGGTAACATTGCAACAGGACTGTGTTCTTGTCCCTCAGCTCCTCAGCTGTGGTGGCTGTGCCTGCCTTGGAGCATCCTGTGCCCACCCCCAGGCTAGAATGAGCTGGAGTGAGCATCAGGCAGGGTCAGCTGTGCTCCTCCAACAAGCCTTGCCCTCCCGCATGCTCTGAAGGGGCAGAGATGTGTTCTCTAATGTCATTAAAAGTAGACCGTGGCTTACCATTCCAGATTCATACGGGCCTAATTAGATAGATTCTTTCAAATTGCCACTGCAGATGCTCCCAGGAGAGCTGCCAGTCTTCTTCTGCCCTTCCACACACACAGCTGCTGGGGGAGGCTGAGCTGCCAGCACTGCATGAGCTGACTATTGCACAAGCTATTTTCTGGAAAGTGGCTAGCAAATGGAGATTTATTTATCTTCTGCCTTCTCCTTCCTTCCTGCACTGTCTTCAGCATTGGCCTAAACAATCACCTGGCAGCCCCTTCTCCCTGCTTCCCTATTTGCAGCCAAGATGTGGAGGCTGAGCTGCCACTTGCACAATTTTGAGGTGTTGCCATCTCACTGTCATGTGGAGGAAAAAAGTGATGGCTAGTACCAGGAAACTGCCCTGTGACATCAAAAGATAAAGAAGAATATTTCCATACCCTATGAAGATAATGGCAATCACCAGAAGCAAAACACAGCCACTGAGAAGGAAATGCATGGGGCAAACTACCTGCAATGGGCATTGCCTCTGACAGGCCTGAGGTACTGGGAACCACGGTGAGCTTCTTGCCAAGAAGCCAGCTACATAAACCCAGAAACACTTCATGGATTGCAAATTGAACTGAGTGGGGTATTGCAGCATTAACAATATTCACCACTTTATTACCCCTATCTCATTGTTAACTCTGCTAGGTGACCAGAAGGTACAATCAGATGTGTCATAGGCATTGCATTTCATTTGGCAGATTCCTACGTGAAACACACTTAACAAATCAGGCTAACCACAAAATGCGTCTGTGTAAAAATGTAAAATTTCTCTTTTCACATTCTTTCTCAAGCCCAAGGTGGATGGCAGCAGTCAAAGCAAATAGTCAGATGTAGGAGCCGACAACCACAAATCTCTAATGTGGGAAAAAAATTCAGTACAAACAGTATGTCCAGGCAGAGTGTACGTGGCCTTTCCACTTCTATGGGACCGTGAACTTATTTAAAAAAAAAAAACACCAAAAAGTCCTCTCGTGCATCACATGAGCCCATTCACACAGAAAAGAAGCCACTGAGCTGATACAGGAAAGCCCTACATTGCTTTAGTTTCAGAAAATAAACACTTCTTTGAAAAATCCTGTTCTGTCCACTGCAAAAGGCTAAGAGGAGTCTACTGAAAGTGTTTCAGCTTAATGTTTATTACTGTATGGTACTTTTCCTGGAAGAAAATTCCTCTTGAGTGCGTTAGACACCAACTTTAATAAGGGAATATTTAACCTGCTTTTGGAAATTTTGCTCTTAGCTTCCTCTGTATTGGGATGAACATGTGCAGCATCACACCCAGCTGAATAGTTGCTTCTTGGTGCTACATACAGAGGTCCTTACAAAACCAGGAGGTATTTATAGTGCCTGCTGCAGCCTTATCTGCCCCAGGCCACACTGCCATAACACACATGGTGGATCTTTTTTCCACCACTGACAGAGAGCGATTTAGTGATTTATGTGTAAAGATTTGTTACAAAGCAGAGGGGAGAACATCAGGATTTACACACATTTCTTTCTGGTCAAAACTCTGGATGGCACTAGCCGACGCCCCCTCCCCACTGGCGCACGCTGGCTGCTGTTTCCATGCTCTTATCCTTGCTGTTTCAGCATATGAACTGCTGCCAGCAGACACGAACTGGTGGCTTTAGCTGGCAGCACTGCTGGGGGATGGGACCAACCCTCCCATGGCAAACTTCTCAGGGAACTGTGCTGGAGACACTCTTGTGATGCAACAGCAAAATCCTTCCTGCTGTATCACCAGTATCAGCAGCAGCAGCATTACCCTGAGCTCGGAGGAATCCCCATGGAACCTCCCATGGGTGCTTGGGCATAGCAACCGGCACCATCATGGAACCCCAGAGCAACACAGAAGTGGGTATTGCTGTGAGACACTTGCAGAGGGAAGTAGCTGCTTTAAATTGAGCCAAAGAAGTACTTTTGCTCAGAGACATTTAGGGTGTGACTGTTAACAGGAAAAAGGCTTCAATTCAATGGACATCAAAGAGAACAGCATATAAAACAAACCACTCAACACAAAGGAGTCTTCTTTTTTCTTTTCTTTTTTTTTTTTTTTTTAACAGGTTTTGGTCAAGCAGGTAGGTATCACTGACACGGTTAAGCGTGTTGCAGGTGAACAAACATGAAAAAGCAGAACTAAAGTTGGCTCTGATGAGACATGATGGGCAGTCCTTTCTCCATGCCCAAGGGAACAGGGAGCCCCTGGCAGCACTCACCTTGTGCTTCACCGTGGGCTCCTCCAGTGCCTGCTGGAACGCAGGGGAGGAGGGGGCTGCCTCTGCCCTGCCTGCACTGCTGCCCACACTCTGCCCAGCCCACTCTCTGCTCTCAACAGGTCCTTCCTCAGCCCAACCTTGTACAAGCTAATCCCTTCATCCATCTCTGCACCCTTCAAATTTGAAGTCAGGTCAGCCAATTGTGCAGGGATGTTAAGACAGATAACCGGCTCCTTATTAGCCTCATTTCATTATTGGAAACATTAATAAAGTTAGAAGTGCAAGGTCCAAATTCTGCTTCAAGCTATACATTCTGCTCAATAAATAAGTTTATACTTTGAAAAGTGACTGCAAAAATTATTGTTGTCCCAGTGATATATGAAGGCAAATTACAATTTAGAACTAAAATGATAGATTTTCTTATTTTCACTTCTGCAAGCTGAATCTAGGTTTAATATCAAAGTGTGAAAGAACCTGTCCACACACACATGCCTATGCTGTGCCAGAGCTTCCACTAAACGGTTGTAGGACCAGCAGCTGAATGTTACAGCTTTCTGAACTCCTCGCACTTGCTACAAACAAAAATAGCAACCTAGCCACTGCCTCCCTTCTGCAGTACTACCCAGCCCTTTGCATACCCTCCTTTTTTGCCACATCCGAGATGCCAACCCTTGCCAACTCAGCTGGAAATGTAAATTTTCCCAGTTATTTATTCTGAAAGGTAAACCTCCCAGGAGATGCAGAGTTTGCAAACATATTTTCTCTCTAAGAACTACCATGATGATCTTTTATTTACAGTATAAATAGGCCATAAGGTATTCTGCTATGAGAGCACTGTTTCCAGCTGTACTGATGTGAGTAAGCATCACTTCTCATTTGCTAGAGTCAGATTAGCAGAAGGAGGTCTCCTGACAAGTGCATTCAGAGAAACACAATCAGCTCACAAATGCTCTACAGCATAAAGTTATCTAAAAAAAAAGAAAGGCACTGTACATTGGTGAATGCTGTCCTTAAGAGAGTTTCCTCTCCGCTGTCTCCCATTACAAGAAGTCTCCTTATTTATTCATTTGCCAGTGGTTGTCAATCTGCTCAAGACCTGCCTTAGTTTTGCCATCAACATCTCTCTGAAGTGGTCCCCCATTAAGAAATAGAAAACAGGATTAACGGCACTATTTAAAAATGCAATAGGTCTTGTGATGACATAAACAGTGTTGATGACACCCTGCGTGCACACAGAGACATTCAAGGCTGGTATTCGGGAAGCAAGTCGGACATTGCGCATTACATGATAGGGAGTAAAGAGCAGTGAGAAGATAACCACTGTAAGGATGACTAAAGTGAGAGGTTTTTCAAGTGTCAGAAGAGAACTAAGTTGCTCGCTCCTGTTTTTAAGAAAAAGAACCATCTTCACACAGAAGCAACACATGATCAAGAGAGGGATAAGGAACCCAAAGACAGTCAGGAACATGCTATAGATGAGGCTTTTCACGGGATCTCCAGAGCTTGCATAATCAAGACATTTGTAATTATCAGCAGACATTGTAGCCTCCAGGAAATACATCAGTGGCAGCAGTTCCAGTATCACCCCGATCCATATGGCAGCGGACACAATTAAGGCCATTTTCCTTTTTTGTAGAAAATGTTCTCTGAAAGGGTATTTTATCAGCATGTATCGGTCAATGCTGATAAATGTGAGGAAAAGGATGCTACTGTACAGGTTTGCATGCAACAGGAATCTGTTGCTGTGGCACAAGGTGCTGTCCTTTATCCATTGATCTCTGGAGTAGTTGTTCACAAGGACTGGAAGAGTACACAGAAATAATAAATCTGATAATGATAAATTGAACAGGTAGATGTTGCAACTTTTCCAGTTTTTCAGGCAGAAAATATATCCAAACATAACAACGGTGTTTCCAGTGAAGCCTAAAATGAACTCAAGGCTGTACATGGCAGAAAGGTAATACTTTTCTAGGACTCTGTTCGTCATCAAACAGTCACCTGTCTCGTTCACGGCCTGGAAAGTCAAAAGGAAAAAAAAAACAACAAACAAAAAACCACCAGAAATTAGTAAAAGATCACTGGATAGTTATTTTAATATTGTTGCTGTAATAGGTGAAGATAGTATGTTATTTCCTTATAGCTTACATGGTAAGTAGATACTTGAACTTGATGAATATCAGTTCCGCACACAAGATTTCTATTTTCAGCTATTGACCAGAGTTACGAAGCAAGATGAAAACTTGCCCAAGCAAAACCTTGTGTGGGGAGTTTGAAGTAAGAGCATCACATGAAGACATCTGCCACAACATAGCAACTACCACTTGGCCAAATCCTCGGCAGTACCAGAAGCTGGGAAAGCGAAACTCTTCTCTCACCACTTGCTACAAAGTAGGGACCAGACCTACTGGTTTCTGCTCTGAGTCATTAAGTCACTTTGTGACTATAAGCAAATGCCTTACAAGTCCTGTCACAGACCTTGCTAGAAGTCATCTGCCTCTCTGTTACTCAACTCTGCTCCCGTGGTCTCCTCTTATCACTATCACTAACACTTATCACTAAAGCAGAAGTCCACTTTCAAGACTGATAAAAGATGAACTCATCATCAGCAAAACAGCCTCACTCTGGACAGCATTACCCGTAATTCATCAGCAAGTCAGGAGAAAATGCATTTAGCAAATTATTGAAGCATTCATCATGCACTTTGTACAGTTTTGCTGGTAACTAAGTACCAGAATGGCACAGAAAGCACTGAAGATAAAGCGTGTACCCTGTGCATCACAGCAGAGCACTTTCAAGCCATTCCTGCAGACATAGGCCATTTCTGCTCCTGGGGTTTTACAAGTCTCTTCTGTTTCCTACAAAATGCCTTTCAGGAAGGTTCAGTTATGACTGAATCCTTGTTGATTTGAAAGCAACTGTAGTCAAGGGGACAGCACAGTCAAGCTCAGGATAAAATGTCTTTGAAGCCAAATTCACAAAATTTAAGGCCCTTACGTTATTAGCTTTCTATGCAATGAGAGCACCATGCATGGTTTCTTGAATTGCAGCTCATCCCTTCTGCTAAGTCCTCAGCCTTTGTAGGATGGAGTGCCCCAAGCCCACCCCATAGAGCAGCCAGAGGAGGAGAAATTGTTCCCTGCAGGGACAACGTCAAACACTGGGTTGGCAAATGCATGGCTGTTCACAGGTGGGAGAGCTGCTGGCAGGACTGCCAGCACTGCCAGCATCACGGCCACCCCTCCTGAGCTGCTATTTCATTTTCTTTTTAGCTCCAGACAAAAAACTTCTCCTCCCAGCTTGAAAGCGAGTAGTGCAAGCAGTATTCTTTAAGGAGCAAAGCTTTCTAGGAAGCTGCACCAAGTGTGAGTTTGCCTGAGGACAAGGTTTGCTTTCTTTCTAAAGGTTGGTTAAAAAAAAATGCTTTCATGCTACAGGGAAAGAAACAGAACAGGATCTCAAGTGCTACCTCCTCTCCCCCCTCAGGCAAAGACACTGGCACCCACCTGCAGGGGAACTGCAAGATAAAGAAAGCTTTTAGCATCAGCCTTTGGTTAAAATACTAGCAAAACAATTAAAAAGCAGGGGAAAACAAAATGTTAGAAAAATGGGGTATAGATTAAAACTGAAATCAAGCCAAGTCTAAGCTCTGACAGAGCAGCAACATGACTGCCACAAAATCTACTAAAGACAGTCTCCACAAATCATGTAACTGTTTTAAGTATTTCCAAAGTTGTTCTGGTGTCTATAACTTGTTAAGAGGTCTCTGCTCTCAAAGCACTGTATTTTATTTTAAAGGTAGATCATGAAACAGAATAAAGTACAGCATATATGAAACTTTATAAAGTTACATTCACCAAATATCTCCACTTACACCATGTCCCAGAGGAGACAAAAAGGATACAGCCATGAAGGCTCACTCTTCTCAGATAAGCTCACATGCAGCATGTAGCCTAACCCTGGCTGCTCAGGCTCTTGAAAGGAAACTCATCATTTCAGTGAAATTTTATTTCTAGAAAACACTGCTCTAACATTAGCACTTAAAATACAAATAATATAAAATTACTGTATTGACAGATACATTGACTTTGGTAGTTGTTGGAAAAAGAGTGATGGATCGATTATAAAGAAAGTGGTCAAGGTAAAACAATTAAAGGGTTCATTCAAAATGGTCCTGCTAGAGGAACGGTGGATTCTTCCAGAGAGGCACCGACCAACAGCTGGCTCACAGGTACAAGGACACCTTACCATTCCCAGGGTTGGGCGCTGGCTCTCTATCAGCACTCCCCAGACATGCCTTGGCGAGAACGCTGTGGTCCCTGGAGCGCAGCACAGCACTGCTGTCTAACCTAGTTTGCATATGATTCAATCATTAATGAGTCAAGGCAAAGGAGAAATTTGTTTGGCTGAGCAGGACACAGAGGCAGTTTTCGTGGGAGGAAGGTACTGCAAAATATATGCTGAGTCAAGGAGAGAAGCAAACAAACACTTCCCCTTTGCAGAGACCTGTTTGGAAACTGCTCAGGGAGGACGGGTGGACACTGCAGCTCTGCTCTGTGCTGCAGGGGATGCAGTGTGCTGGGAGCAGCTGCCAAACCTTGGGTTCTGGTCAGCGATTTCTCACGAAACACTTGGGCCTGGACGACACGCAGATCTCTCATCAAGCCCCGGGCCAGCAGCCAGAGGCCCTCAGCTCACACCCTGCCAAGCCAGTGTGGTACAAAGCCCTTACCTTGTGCGGGCTGCAGCAGCCATCAAGGTGGGTATCTTCCCAGAGGTGTGAGGAGGGAGCAGGTGCTGCTCTTCATCCCATGTTTTGAGATACTCCCAGAGGCTTCAGGAAGGCAAAGCTTGTAGCTCATTCCTGATTACATCCAGTCTTCTTCAGCTATGGAAGAGTCTCTCCTATTAGTCTCAGAGATCAGTGCAACAGATGCAGCTGCTCAGTGACGTTCTGTAGTTAGCAAATCAATTAAACCAACATATATTAATTACATTAAAGCAGAGCGCTAAAATGTAGCACTTATTTTTCATATAGTTAACATCTTAGCACTTCAAAGATGCTGATTTATTCATCATTGCTATGCAATATTATCATGTTTTAACTTTGAGATGCTGCTATTGCAAAATGACTGCTCCATTGTGACTAGTGCACCTGAACCAGCTTACTTCAGCTTAAAAATTGCTTCTTAGTTTCAAGTTATACAGTGGTATTTTTATGCACAGTTTTGATTATTTTTTTACCTGGACTACTGTATTCCACTCTTCAGAAGCCACAGGGTACTCCATAAAAGATAAGGTTTCAGCTTGAGGCAAGGCATGCCCAGCCTGGAGGTCCTGGCTGAAAATGCCAACTGTTGCATGAGAAAATGAGGGTGCTGTAGTTTTCTTACATAGAAACTAGCAGGTGAGCAATCTCAGCAGTGTTTTGGGCAAAACGTGAGTTGGTGGCTGTGTGGCTGACACACACAAGATGTTCCCCATCTGGAATTTCCACTACTACAGGGCAGGCTTGAGTCCAGGGCTGATTTTAAAGAAAATGATGCACTGTGCAATGTAAACTTTCACATACTTCAATTTAATGTTTATTGCTGTGCAGAAGCATGCTCTAAGTGAGGTTTCAAGCCAAAAAGCTGCTGTGCGACCTGTCCCTATACGTTATGACTGAAGACAAAATGATCAGTCTTTCTTTCCTGGATCATGTAAGGAACAGAGCCCTTTTCAGCCTGCTGCAGGAAAAACAATTCACTCTGGATGAAGGCTGTGGGGCTGTATTTACAGTCTCTAGGCCTACTTTGCAGGGAAAATAAAATGCCAGCATTTGGGGGGCTTGTCAATTGCCATTTCAGTAAAGAAGCCCAACCTGCTTTATTCACCTGTTAATGGCAGCTTGCTCAGAATCACCAGCAGACACGAAACCAGCTACTGCTGCACGTGAGCAGATGGCCATGCATTTGCAGCACACACACATACGCTAACATCTAATTGATTCATCCAATCCAGCAAAACCAGGCCAATTGTGCAGTACTTAGATCGTATGTGGCATCTGGAACACAAAGTCAGTGCCAGCACTTGCCATGAGCTCATGAGTGGCTCCCGGCAACACTGTACATCCTTACAGCACTCATCCACTGCTGCATCCCTCACAGGGGACAAACAAACTGGAGATAAGTTTTGATGTTTTGAGCACATCTAAAAAAGCCATCCCCTGCTGGGTTAGCCCTTTGTACAGCCTGTGCACTTGAGGGCAAGGCTTCCTCAGGCAGGAGAGGAGCTACAGGGGTTGCAGCAGAAGCCCTGGTGACAGCAGGTGACAAGCCAGAATTGGCATGCCTCATCTTTAAAGCATGTATAAAAAGAGAAAGAAGCTACAGGTCATATGTAGATGGCTGCAGAATTGTCATGAGCTAGAAACAAGCTAAATAAAATAAACTGCTAAATGACATGTCAGCTTTCAGTCCCAAAAATTTTGAAAATAATCGGCACATGTGTGTATTCAGCATTAATTTGCCTTGGTGAATTATACAAGTGAATTATACAAGAGAGTGGTTTCTGAATTTTACCAGCCCAATGAAATTAAAATTTTAAAAAGATAAATTAGAAAACAAACAGATGCTGAAACTGCTCATTAGTTTAGCAGTGCTGAGGGCCATGCGGAGGCTTCCCATGGAGCAGCTGCCTGGTTTTACAAGTCCTATCATGGTAACGG